TGTTCCTGACTTCTCCACACATCAACAAGCTTCTGCACACTAGTGGGCCCGGGCCTATCAAACCTGACAATGAGCGGGGCCGAACATCCCGCATCAGCTTGGATCGTGCTATCCCCTTGCTGCTGCCTTGACACCCAGTTCACCCCTAGGGTATCCAGCATTGATGGGCATTTCATGACCATATACTGGAGGAACTCCGCTACGTCGTGCTGCTTCCCCGGGGCAACCCAATCATGAAAAAGCGTTTGCCAGAAAGGATTCTGCCAAAGATAGCACACGCCCTTTGATTGGAGGATGCCCCTCGCAACAGACGCCAGCGTGGGCGGGAACACAGCTCTCAGGTTACCACTCCGCAGAGTGGCCGCAATCAGGCCCTTGAAGAGCGCATTGCCATAGCAATGATTACTCTTGTTCCCCAGGAGGAGCCGTTGCAAACGGCTCAGGAGTCGAACTCGCTCATCATCTTCGCGATGCGCTGGGCCAAGGCTGCAGGCTGAAGCTTGTCCTGGCGCATGTAGACCCCCGAGGCGATCCAAACCGCCGACCGACACAGGGCCTGGAGGATGGTCTAAGCTTGATTTGCAGCTTGAACTCGAAGGCCCACGTCCAACATCATCGGCAGCACCTGGGAGTTGTAGTCCTGAGCCATGGGGCGGGTAGCATGAAATCGATTGATCACCAGGGGGGCCTTGGCAAGGATCACTAAGTCGGCCAAGCTCTTGAGCACCTCCTCTGGCGTCAACGTCTTGCCCGCCGGGTCGATGATATGAGTTTTGGCCTCGTGGTCCCATTTCATGACATTGACCCTGGTAGCATCCTCCGAGATCCACCCCACTTCCTGGACTCGTCCGTCGACATCAGCTGCTCGAAGCGGGCCATCACTGATGCAAGCATCGCTTGCATCAGCACTACCCTCATGGGTGACTCCAGCTTTTGAGGCTCCTTTTCCTTGGCCGTCTTCCACGTCAAGCCGGTGTGGTAAAGGCTCACCGCCAAGCTGCCCTGCATGTCCGTTCGAAGGAAAAAGATGAAGGCCGAATCCAACCTGGCAATCATAAGTTGATTGTCGCGCCTCAAGAGGAGCGCCGTGATCATGTCCATTCTGGTCCGCAGCACCTGTAGCTCCTTCGCCATATTCGGCTGGGGCTTCTCTGCCTGCCCTCCCTCCTTGCGTGTCTGCGACTGTCCCCGGCCTTGGCCTTTCCAGGAACTGCCGTAGCGAGATGTGCCCTGCTGGTTGCGGCCTTTTCCGCCGCCTCCCTGGCCCTTGGCGCTCGGCTTCTGCCATTTGGTCGGCCTCTCCGGCTGTCCCTGCTGCTCCTGTGTGGAGTCCTGAAGGCCCTCCGGCTGGGTGTCCACTTCCATCTGCACGCTGGCCGGGAGGCCTATCAAGCCCTTGGGCGCAAGGGTCTCCATGAGTCGGAGCTCCTCCGTCGCTGCAGCCAACTGATTTTTGTCTATCACGAGCGACTCCGGAGCTGGGGACATGCCGTCGGAAGGGAAGCGGGGGTCCTCTAGCTATCCTGGCGTACAAGTAGGCCCCACTGAAAAGTGCAACGCACGAGCGCAAATGAGCATCTCGCCTCTGAAAGGCCTCACCGCAATACTGACAGGGGCTATGAAC